AATAAATAAATAAATAAATGGAAAAGAACAAAACAAAAAGATGTGAAAGTAAGGTAGGGGCTTGGTGGCAAGGGGGGGAGGGCAGGGAGTGAATGGAAGCAAGAGAAGAGAGAGTGGAGGGGTGAGTGTGACCAGAATGAGCATACATGTATGAAACGGTCAAGGTTAATTTTTAAAATTAAATAATTAAAAGAACTTTTGATCTTCAATTGCTCAACAATAAAATGATGAAAAATATACCACCAGTCCTCAAACACTTCTAGATCTGGAACCTTTTACTTAAATGAATCCCAATACTGACTATAAATGAAAACTAAAAATAAAAAGACAAAAATAAATATGTTAGTTCAGGTCCTCCAAGAAGCAGATGTACTGAAAAGATATTTGTGAAAAAAAAAGGAACTAGAGCTGGAGAAAGTGGGGAGACCAGACTACTATGCAGATCTGATCTGTAGAAAAAGAAAAGAAAGGAAAAACTATGGATAAGCAGAGTCTCAGGCTGTTGTGCCTTTCTAAGAAAGTTTTAGCCAAGCTGATGGGGAACAGTCAAGTCAAAGTCACTCATCAAGTGACTCATCAAGTCCTGCATCTTTCAGACAAAGGCCCATATTAATATTCACACCACACTCAGTCACTGGCTAAGAAAGTCCATTAAAAGTACAAACACAATGGTGAATTCAAAGAACAGCTGCTAAGTCATCAATCAATTTGATTTTCTAAAACAAAGGATGTGAGTGGTATACTTTCTAGCTGCCTCAATAAAAAGATTTTTAAAGCAGAAGTTGCCTGTGGTTGTCTTTGTATATCTTCTACATCTCTCTTCATTGTTCACATGGAAACAGACTAAAGTTGTACAGCTGAAAAATACAATATCTGAAATATGAGTCACTACTGGCTGCGCTTAACATGTGTAGAAGCTGTGAACAATGAACTTGATGGCATTCAACCATCTAACTCATGAATAAAGGGAAAAAACATCAATGAAGTGAGCTGCTGTTAAGCAATATAATATAAATGGAATCAAAGACACAAATAGAGAGGTACAGAAAGATATTTGAAAGATTAATAGCTAAAAATATTCCAAACTTGATAAAGCTTTAAACACAGAGATATAAGGTGCTCAATGAATCTCAAACAAGAGAAACATGATATGAACTACACTAAGTAATATAACCAACTTGAAAAACCCTGCTGCTAAAAAAAAGTCTTAAAAGTAGCCAAAGGAAAAAAGAGCATTGCATACAGGGGAAATACAGGGGAGAAAAGAATTGTTGTAGAATTCTAGAAAAGCAAAACGGCAAACAAGAAAACAATATCTTTAAAATCTGGAAAGGGAGGTAAAAACAAAAATCACAAACACTGAATCTGGAGTACTGTTCAAAGAAAATATATTTCAGAAAAACAGAAAAAAAACCAAAGTTTTTTCATAAAAAAGAATTCATAGCTAGAAGACATGCATCATATGAAATGTTGAAGGTTGGTTCTTATGATCAAAATTAAAGAATCCTGGAGATCAGATCTATACAAAAGAATTAAAAACTCTGAGTCTAATTTTATCAGGCACAGCTTAAAAACAAATCTGAAAATATGAAACAATTTCCAAGTAAATTAGTTGTACACAAAACACTCAAAATTATTTTAAAAAGAATACAAAAACTTTAAATCTAAAATTCACAATATCTGAATCCAAACAAAAAAATTATCAAGTATGTAGGGCTGGAGAGATGGCCCAGCAATTAAAAGCATGTACTGCTCTTGCAAAGGATCAAAGTTTGGTTCTCAGAACCCATGTTGAATAGTTCATAACCACCTATAACTCCAGCTTCAGAGGATTTGACACCCTCTTATCGACTCTGCAGTCACCTGTACTCATGTGCACATACCCACACCCAGACACATACCTACACATACAATTTAAAATAAAATAAATACATGTTTTAATTTCTTAAAACCAGTGATTAAGGGGCTGGAGAGATGGCTCAGCAGTTAAGAGCACTGACTGCTCTTGCAGAGGACCCAGTTTCAATTCCCAGCACCCACGTGGCAGCTATGAACCATCCTTAACTCCAGTTCCAGGGGAATCCGAAGCCCTCTTCTGACCTCAGTGGCACTGTGTGCCAAAGGTGCATTCACATACATGCAAGCAATACACTTGTACACATAAAATAAAAACAATAAATAAAATGGTTTTTTTTAAGTGATTAAAAGCAACCAAAGGAAAAAACATAGTATGTACAAAGGAAGAAAGACAAGAGTGACAGCAGACTTCTCCAAAGAAACAATTCAAGTCAAAGACAGTGGAGCAGCGTCTATCAGCAACATCTGCCAACATATCTCAATTAACTTTCAGAAACAACAGTAAAACAAATTTTCATACACGCAAAAACAGAACGAATTCATCATTAGCATATCAACACCATAGGAAGTGTTACCTGAAGCTCTTCAGAAAGAATGAAAATGGTAACAGATGTTTTAACCGGGAAGTGGCACAGATTCCTCTCAGCCTTTTCCTTACTTTTTACTGCAGCACTCCAGATGAAGACTCTTAAGAGGCCTAAGGAAGTTTCAGATCTACCTCAAACAATCTTTATGAGTCTTTCCTGTTCTCATTTGTAAAAAAGATTGTTTTGGAACATATATTTTCTCTTAGATACTTTGCCCTAACATAATAAATATCCATCAAATAATAGTAATGGATGAATTATAGTTTTAACATACAAAGATTAAGGGACAGTAACTTAATGAGATGATAACCCAACACTACCCTTTTTCCAGTGTTCATAATATATACCAAGATTTGTTAAAATCACTAGTTATCATGCAGAGTGTGTGCTGGAACTCAGAGTCAGGAAGAAAGATGACAATAGAAGTCACAGCATGTAGTAGTTGAAAGCACACTGAAGTTGACTCTTGGGAAACAGTGCTGGGGTGTAGCCCTTTGCAGCCAGTTATGCAAGTGTGGAACTAACACTTCTCTTCTGAATCTCAATTTCTTCACGTGTATAGCTAGGATGTTAGCTAAATGACTCTGAGAGCCTATGATTCTATGAATGTGAGAAGTTAGACTAATGTAGTCCTCTGATGACTTCATCCTTCTAAGCCTGACTAGTAGACAACAGAAAAATCTCCACCACCTCACCAAATAACTATTATTTGTATAATTGAAAAGTTAAAATTAACATCTTGCTTTTGAAAAATGTTTTCAAGGACTGGTGGGATGACTCAGTCGATAAAGGCACTTGCTGCGCTAGCCTGATAACCTAAGTTCAAATCCTGGAACCCATGGTGAAAGAAGAGAGCCAATTCCACAAAGATGTCCTCTGACCTCCATACGTGTGTGTACTATGATACACATGTGTAGTCTCTCTCTGTCTCTGTCTCTCTCTCTCACACACACACACACACAATGATAAAAAGAAAATATTTTCAAAATGTACATAACCTAAGATGTCCTTGAACACAGGCAGACAGTTGATCAGCAGTTGCTAGGGTTTGGGGGAAAGAAGTTAATTACTTGGATTTTTTTAAAGACAGAATCTCACTCATTATGTAACTTGAGCTGACCTCAAAATCAAAATCCTAACCCTACCTCCTGAATGATAGGATTCCAAGCATGTGGCAGGCCCACAAGGGAACTTTTTAGTGTGGAATTATTCTATATCTTAGTTGTGAGAATGATTATATGACTGTACTCATTTGTGAAAACCCATAGTGTGGGTCTCTCCCTCCCCTCATGGGCCGTTGGCCACTGACCCACGAGAACAAAGGGAGCAGAAGCGACGAACGGGGTCAAGACAGCCAGTGAGCACGGAGGGAAAAGACCTTCTGGGAGTCAGTTTCAGTGATACAGCTAGTTTATTCAGTGGAGGGTCAGGGAAAAATAAAGGGTGGAGACAGCAGCCAAAGCTTCAGCTGATAGGTGTTCATAGTATGCTTTATTTACATGTGGTAGGGGGATCCTATTGTCTGGCTATAGGGCAATGCCTAATTATCATATAGAAAAAAGCTGGGGGCAGTTTTATTGCAGGTAACTATGTCAAAGTTCATGTTCCAAATAAGGCCAGGCATCTGTGCTTGGAGGCACTTCCAGATAAGGTCAGGCAGAGAGCAGGAAGCCCCTACTGAGAAAGGAAGTCTTCCATATAGTGCCGAGCACTTTAGAGCTATCTGGACATGGTGGACTGCAACCTTAGCAGCAGGGTCCCCCAACACCATAGAATGACATACCATAAACCATGTTTAAAT